GAGGTGGAGGAGGCTGGCTGGCTTCGTCCCGCTTCTGCTGCGGGACCCGCGCCGAACAGGGAACTGGGAGTCGGGAGCCTCGAGGGGCCAGCGGGGATTCATTGCTGGGCGTCAGGCAGGCAGACGGGCAGGAAGGTATGTCCCCGGGGCGGTGGCGGCGGTGGTGGTGATGGAGTCGTCGGTGGTTGGGTTGGGTTGCGTGGCGTCCATCCCGGGTGCCCGCCGGGACAGTGTCTCGGAGCGCTTCTCTCCTCTTCCCGCGCAACTTGCTGGGCTCAGGCGGGAGGAGCCGGGCGCCCAAGTTGGGAACAGAGCCGCGTTTCGGGAGAGCTGCTGCGGAGTTGGCTAGAGGCGATCCCGGCTCTTCTCTGCCTGCCACGTCTCGCCTTCCTCCCTTAGAGGAGCACCGAGTTGTGGAAGGAAAGGAAGGGGTCTCTCGGGTCCCCGTCCTAGCCCGGTGAAGCGCTGCCTGGCACCCGGGTGGGAGGGAGAGACGAGCCCCGTTGGTCCGTCCTGCCTTCCTGCCCACCTTCAAGGGAAGCAGGGAGAGAAACGGGTCGGTTTGGGGGTGGCCGGGCATCTCTTTGGGCGGGATCGCCGCGGGCCCTCCTGGCAGGATTTCTAGGGACGGGGCTGGTTCAGGGTCATCCAGGGTGGGTGGGAACTCGGCAGCTTTTCTGACTTTTCTTGTTATCCTGTTGTGGCTGGCTGGCTGGGGGGGGAGCGAGAAAGTTCACCTGGCCGACCTTAAATGGCTTTGAGGGACGTCGGACTTGAGATCTTCTCCTGTCTTCTGTATACACGGGTGTGCTTGTGCCTCTATGTGTCAGTTGTCTGGGAGAGAGTGAGAGAAAGCTACTCAAATCGGACCGTTGGGAATTGAAGTGAGAGCGCTGATGGCAAAATCCGCGGGGCTGTCATAGAGAGACTTAAGCAAAGGCACAGCCAGCAGTCTATCGCGCCTCTTCTCTCCCTGAACCCTGAGGATCCGTTCAGTGAATGCGAAAAGGCTGTGAGTGGCTTGAGTATACCAGAGTTTATACCCTCTGGAAAGACGTTGTGTTTGCTTCAAGAAGGGGGTGCTCCACATGGTTTTGGACTACAACTCCCACAATCTCCTGCCCTTGCTGGCTGAAGTTTCTGGGATTTGGAGGCCAAAACATCTGAAGGGCCAATGTTTTCCTTCTGCAGTTTTAAGACTTCCCAATCCTTTAATACTGAACGTGTGTGTGTGTGTGTGTGTGTGTGTGTGTGAGAGAGAGAGAGAGACAGAGAGACAGAGAGAGAGAGAGAGAGAAAGAGAGAGAGAGAGAGAGAGAGAAATATATTGTATATGTACACCCATATGTTTACACCACTCCCTAAACCTCGAGTCAACACTGATGTGGTGTGCTGGACTGAAATGTTTTGTACATTTCCTTTATATTTTTTAAATTTCTTATTGCATTTCACATTAGTTCCACCCCCAAAAAACATATCTGAGGGATTAGTCACTATTAGGCACATGCTATACAGCATGAAGAATTGAACTCCATGCCTAAACCATTGAACTATTCAGCAGTTGAGTTGTTTCTTGTTCTGTTGGGTACTTGGAAAGTTGTTTTTAAAGGTAATTTGTTATGGATGTTGTTGCAACCCTCTTCCCCCCAAGTAATTTGTGTGAGTAAATATTGCAAAGAGTGTAAGTTACTCATTACTTTCTGACTACTGTAAAACCCTTCGGACTGTGAAGTGATTGGCATAAAACTTATTCCTCTCAAAATCTTCTGAAAAGATAATGTGAAAATGTGTAGAAGGTTGCTTTGGTTAACAGACTTTTGCATTATTCTAACAATGCTCGAGTTTAAAAAAAGAGAACACTTTTAAACTGCTACAAGGCAATATACAACCCTAATTTGCTTCTCTGTTTCCTTAATACAAAGTCTACTCTCTACAGAATTTCTCTCTAACTTTGCTCTGCCTTTTCAAAAAAATTATTTTGAGACCCAAGTGGGTTGCTATCTTGAATTTAGAGTTCAGACAGCAGCAAAATCAATATTCCTTTCCTTTCAAACAAATACTCTATTATTCTAAGATTCTCAGATTCTTAAGATTCTGTTATGACTTGTAGCTGAAGTGAAAAAAACAATTGCTGGCACACCTCTGACATATTATTGGTCAGCATGAAGACTAAGTCTTTTGGTGAAACTAGAATAGGTCATTAATACATAGTCCTGGCTATGTTCTCATCAGGATGTGGCCAGAAGCCATGGAGACATATTGCTTTTAATTGCCACACTTTAGGCACATTTAAGTGTCAGAGGTAGTTTGTGGAAGACAAAGTGAAGCTTTTATCAAGCTGCATTTTTCAAGCTTTGGAATACACAGGCTTGTGTCCAGTAAGGATCATCTTGCTGGTGGAAGGAGAAATTAGGCTGCTTTCCTACCCCAATTTTCTTTCTCCTGTGCTGTCCTCATTTTCCATCGCCACCACACCAAGCTCAGTTCTCCAACTCACACTTAACAGCAGATCTGAAGTGGTCTGCAAGAGGGAGGGGCATCACTGAAAACTGTCTCCTTCCCTCTTCTGAACGGGGTCAGTGCCTTCTATCAGTGGAGTGACTGCCACTGGATAAAAACCTCAACACCCTTTTTTCTTTTTCATGTGTTGTTTTTTGTTTTGCCCATGGGAATCAAACAGATTTTTACCTGTAACCCATTCAGCTTTATTCCTACTTTATAATCTAAATCCCTTGTTTAAATTAGTTGTGTGCCTTTTTTTCAAACAGAAGGTGATTTTCCTTCCTGCCTCCTCCTCCTCTTCCTCCTCCTCCTCCTCATCCTCCTTCTTCTTCTTTTTTGTTTTTTGTTTTTTTGTTTTTTTTGTTCTTCAGCTGCCTGGGAAAATGAAGCCTGTGTTTGAACTCCTAGAGATAACTTCCACCTTCTTCAAAGGAGGTCCACTGAAAGCTCAGGCAAAGGCCTCTTTTCAGTGAATTGAATTGTTGACACAATGGGAGTTTAGCATAAGCTAAGGAAAATGTTGGCAGGAAAGCATTATTTATATTAGTCTGCCTGCCCTTCTTAGAACTTGTGGATTTAAATACAAATAAGAATGTGGAGCTAATGTTTTGGTCCTGGGCTTTTAATTCTGTGCAGCACTGCACAGTGGTTTTAATAAGAGAAGCTATTAAGAAACAATACTTGATGATTTGAGCATATGCATTATATCTAATTACCCCCCCCCCAAAAAAAACCAGAATGTCTTCCGACAGCCAAATGGGCAGGAAGCAATTTCTTCCACTTTCCCCTCCCTCTGCCCTCAACCTGCAGTCACAATGGACTACAGAAGGAAGGGGAAGTTCTATTCTGCTCAAGGTGCATTAAATTTTTTTTTATTTTATATTTTCTGAGGTGTTCCTTTAAAAAAAAACACTTTTAACTGTGTGAATAGGGACGATCCATAGAGTTTGGGCTTTGTGGACCTACATTTTTAGAAAACATATTGCTGTGTGTTGTGTGTGCTACACAGAGCAGTACTCATAGTGTGATTATAGTATATCTTTAAGATGTGACTTACCATAATTTTGGATTTTCTACTTGATTCTATGTGTTTTTTGATCATCACTATACAGTGAATCATGAAGATTAGCCCTCTCTAAATAATGGCTGTTAGAGCAGAACTAAAGTTAAAATTTTGTTTTCCAACTCTCAGTCTGTGGGCAAGGAGTCTAATGTAATGGTATCACCTGATGAGGTCCATTCTACTGTCTGCAACTAGCACTTTTCTTCATATCAAGACAACTTGCAGACCATAAAGTCTTCAGATTAAACCTCCCTTGGCCTTCTCGTCCCTGAATTCTTCTATCTAATCTTCCCTGGTGAAGCTATAGTAATGTTGGAAACTTGTCTACTGTTATTTTTGCTTTTTTTTAGGGGAAGGGTTGATCAAATAAAGGTATTATTGCAGTAGGAATTTTGCAGTCGTACCTTCAGTAGTATGTTGTGTACTTCTTGCTCCTTTCCAATTCAGTCTTAGGCTTTATTGTAAAGTAATTTAAAGCAACAGCTTGTATTGATGGCTTGGTTCTTAGTTGTCCTAGATTTCTAAAACAACTGTTTTATAAATTTGTCCATCAGATCACTGAACAAGAAATGCAAGATTGCCTGACAAATGCATCTGAACCGTTTGCTACATGTTGATGAAAAGCAATCTGTCTGTAGGATGAAATATGATCCTATAGACAGGTCAGTATTACAAAAAAAGATTAGATTATTGTTTCTTTATAGCTTCTCTTAAAGATTAGAAAATATTGAGTTTTAGGAGGTGTTTTCAAGCTGTTTTTAATCCTGATATACATCACCCCCATAGCCTAAGAAGGATTTCATTGTTACCCAGACAGATGCCCTCATTGTGTTAGAGAGGAACATGCAGCCCCTCCTTTTTATGCCACTTTCTGCAACAGTCTGCAGTGTCAGTGTATGTTCAGGTGTAAGCTTCTCCATTTTGTCTTTATTTTTGTACAGTAAATCATGACATGGTGTAATATGTCTTGAGTTGTCATCTCAGGTTGTTTTTACCTAATTTTCAGACATGCTAAAGACCAGATTATTTTTATTATCTCCTGATACATATAACCATAGAATTCAAAGAGAGTGTACTTTTTTCACATGACTGTATGAGTTCTACTGGTCAGTATTACAAAAAAAGGAATTATCTCTCAGACATATTCTTCAGTTATTTTGACAACCTTAGTTCAATCAAGCGTGCATCTGTTTACAACTGAAGTGATGGGAAGTCAAATGACCTTTAGGGAAGAAATGAATTGGTATCAGCACCTTATACCTTATGTAGTTTAGAAGCCAACAGTATTGCATAACTGAATGAGACTAATAAATATGGGAAGGCATGAAGGCATTTGTGGCGTGAGAAATTATTGGCAAATCTCTTGTAACAGTGGAAGTTTCCTAAACCCTGGGGCTAAGTGAATGTTTTCCTGTTCACGTTGCTCTAGAACTCAGCAAAGTAGTTCTCTATTATAAATACTGTAATGGCACTGCCCACTGTTGTTGAGGTTTGAGGATAGCTGAGAATGAAGTCACTGTCAAGACTAATAGGTGCATTTCCAGACTCCCGTTCTTCTTCCAAAGTAGAT